ATAATGCCGCCCAAATGTTCACGCAGAGAAAGAAGGCGTGGTTTCAGGAACCGCAGTTAGTGTTGAAGCAGCCATGTCAGGGAGAAGCTGTGTGTTTCTAGGCGAAAGCAAAAGCACTTTATTTGGCCTTCCGAAAGTAGATGCATTTGCACAGAGAGAGAGAGAGAACGAGAGAGAGACAGGGTGGCGTCACAGTGGAGTCAGCTGTCTTAACCGTGGCTTGTGTACTGCAAACACATACCAGCTTCATCACTGTGTCTGTCACGCGACTCTGTTCCCCTTTCGGGCTCTGTCTTTACATTTATTTTGAAAGATGAAGCTCGCGATTATGGTAAGGGGCGTTACATTTCCGACGAGTGTTTGTGGTGTTCGGCCAATCACAATGCACTGGGTCAGCTGGCCAATCAGAGCAGACTGCGCTTGTCGGATGGAGGGACTTTGTAGAAAACTAAGAGTTTGAGAGAGGCGGGGCATAGAGGACCTACAATAATGTACAGTATTTGAAAAATTATGTGTTTTTTGAACATTAAAGCATGTCAACATATTCTGTTACACCTAATACACCAAATAATGATCTTTAAAAAAGCATCATATGACCCCTTTAAATGAAATCATGATGCTAGCAGCAAAACCATTAGGCTGCTCAACAAAAAAAAATGTATGCTACATTTGCATCGCTTTTAGAGTGAAAACTACACATTGGTGAGTGGCCTGGCTTTGGCCGTGCTCCTGTCTCACTCAGCATTCTCTGGCTCCCTTCAGAGGCCTGTCTGAACTAATTAGCACATGATGCAAAGTTGCATGTCCCCTCTGAGTGTATCTATGAAAGTGTGGAAGAAAAGTAGGAAGAGACAGAAATAGGTTGCGCTGCAAAGTACAACTGCAGTAGGACTTGGGTTACACTGTAACTAGAATAGTTATGAAGAGTGCAAAGATTTTTTCAACATGTTTAATATTGTTTTGATTTTATTTTGATTTGAATGGTGTCTCATCTGAAAATTGACTCACTGTTCAGGCCATCCATGATATGAGTTTGTTTCTTTATAGGAAAGATTTAGCATTACATCACTCACCATTGGATGGGTGAATGGGTGCCATCAGAATGAGAGTCCAAACAGCTGATAAAAACATCACAATATTTTTTTCATAATTTAACATCTTGTAAAGTGAAAATGTTGTGTTTTTGTAAGAAACAAATCCATCATTAGGACATTTTTGAACGTCAAATTGTTGCTTCCAGCTAAAATATGAGTCCTCTGTTCATAATATTGCTTTCTCCAGTGAAAAAGTTGTCTCATCTGAATCAGGACAGAAATATGCACAGATCAAGCACTGGTTACAAGCATAAACAGTCCAAAATAGTTCTAAACAGTTCTTCAGTTTGGTGTGAGAGGACAACAGGAAATTGACTTTTTCACATTGTGATGCTTTTATCATTTGTTTGAACTCTCATTCTGATGGCACCCATTCACTAAAGATGATCCATTTTTGAGCAAGTGATGTAATGCTAAATGCCTCTAAATCTTTTCAGATGAAGAAACAAACTCATACACATATTGCATGGCTGAGGGTGAGTACATTTTCAAATTTTAATTTGTGGGTAAACAATTTCTTTAGTGAAAATACTCTGGCCCAGATCTGATCTGCTCATTTCACAATAATTACCACAATAATTAAATCAGACCCTCAGTGTCATTAAGAAGGCCAACCTAACCTAGAGAAATCATGTTACTGGCTCTTTTCTTTTAGATTGTGTGTTGTCAGACTAGGTGAATGTCACACCGCATGGGGACCATGGGGACAAAAACCCTGAATCAGCCTAGCTGTCAATCAAACTGACAGGTCACTGTACCACAGAGCTGTTAGAACTGAGGGAGAAATGACTTTAACATTGTATGTTTTCACATAGCTTCACAGCTTTACTGCTGTTTGGTCATTATTATTAATAGCTAACTTCATTTGACCATTAATGAAATGCTTGTCTGTAATGAAGGTCACAGGCACCTCATTAAACCTGCGAAATGCGCCTTTAATTTATCCAAACTGAGTGGTCACTAAAAACGAGCTCATTCACATTGTTTAATGTCATATTTCTTAGTATTTTATATGTTTTATTGTTGTACTGCCCATTATTTTCTCATGTAATCTTCTAGGAGGCCACGTTTTCCCTGAAATATGCGCTGCAACTACCTTATAAGTGCTGAGCACAGCACATACAGAGATCAAATAAACAAGTGTAATCCATTCCAAAACACTGCATACAGAAGTATAAATGAGAATGCATGTGCAAGAAAGAGATGGACTTATGTTTAGTCAGACATTGTCAGAGAGCTTAATCACATCTGCCAGAGCACAGCATTATAGCGGGCCTGAGGTCTTACAAAACCCACAGCAATCTCAGCCTTTTTAAAATCACATCCACTCTCTGCAAGAAGCAATGGGAAATCAGCACACCGGCCTTGTTCTGAGAAAATGTATTCAGAGACTAAAGATTTAACCAAGGCTTCTGTGAGAAATGAGTTTGAATGAAAGTCTGCACTGAAGAACATTCAGAAATTTGAAGACACGAAGATTGAGAGATATGAGAGAGTCCAGGTGTTGTGTTTTGAGTAGACATCTCTGCAGTAATATCTCAACCATATTTCAGAATTTGGTTTATGAGGTCCAACTACTGGGATTTAGCACTAACTTTTTGGTTATCAGCCAGCAACATTCTTTCATTAACATTATTATGTAATTATTTCATCTTGAAATTAGCTGGATGGATTGTTTTTATGTTGAGCTGCCCCCTTGTGGTGTGATGCACCAAATGAACTGAGTCATACGATGACACCTTGTGGCAGACATTGAGAATTAGAGTAAACCTGCAAAACAATCAGTACAGTAGGTTCAGTGGGTCATATTACAAAAGAGAAAAATTATTTGCAACAACACACTTGTGTTCAAATCTTTTTTTACTGGTTTTTAAAGATTTACAAATACTGCCAGGGGAGCCACATACACATAAACAGGAAAAATAATAATAATAAAATAAAACAATAAACGTTAAAACGGTTTAAAAAAAAACAACAAGTTTCTGCATATAAATCACACCGTGTACAAAATATAAGCCTGCCAATATTATGTCATCACGTCAGTGGGTCATCATGCTGATTCGCAAGGTTTGCTTCTCTTTTCTATGTAATTCATTTATTAATACTGACAGGTCGTGATTCCATTCTTATTTTAAATACTATGCCATTATCACAAATGTACCTGGAATCCTAATGTGCTAGTAACAGCTGCACGTGAAGTCAGAACAGTTAGTTAGGCTATCACAGGGTTTAAAGACCAACACCATTTAAAAACATTGACTGCAGTTGTACATCACAGTCGTCTTTCAGTCTCTGGCTTCACATTGATAGATACGTTGACTATAAGTTCATAATTAGCAACTTCTGGGGTCACCTTGCTTTGGTGCTTAAGCTGACAGGACATTTCTGATTGTTCTACGAATCGTCGATTCAGTTTGCTAATGTGTCGCTGAGGGTCGGGTGCTAAGAATGCGAAAGCTAGTGTCACCACAAAGTGGCAGCAGTGCACGAGAGACGGTTCATGACCTGCGTGAGCAGAAGAACTCAGCTGTAAGTTATACCAGAGAAAGCCAGAGATGTTTTTATCATGGGTCTCTAAGTTGTCCGTGAGCTTTTAGAGCTATCTTAGTGTGCATATTCATCTACATTTAACTTAGCTCGGCTGATGCAGGACCCTCAGTTTACTTTATTTGAAAATCTGTAGATTATGATTATTAATGTGGCGACATCTAACGGAGCAGCTGAAAGTAGTATTATTACTAAATAAGTAAACTAATTACACATGAATTCCATTATTTATAGGCTATATTTTTGTTAATCAGTTTTAAGACCTCGTTTAGGAGCTCCGTTTTGGTTAAAAAGAGGTCGACTGTAAGCTGACAAATTGCTAATTTTTGCTTGTAGTTACACAAGTAAGCCACAAACGTTTGCCTCACAACTTTATCGTATTGTTCTCACTAGTTCTCATTTCGGAAATATGCAATCACATAATGAGAGAAGTTAGAGCATCTGCTGAATCAAGCTAGTGTTGAAGACCGTTTATGCCCTCTGTCTTTCCTACTGCTTTATAGAGAATTGGAGTATTGAAAAATGATAATGGACAAAATGATGTGTGAACTCAAGTGTTACTTAAAATCTGTATGAAAATCAGTGGGCATTTCATAAATACATTATTTTAATCATTTTGTCCTCTCTTATCCACTGTATTGAGTCTCTTGCTGTTACACTGAGATGTTTTCAATTACTGTGATGTTTAATAGCAACACCTTATCTGCTTTAAATTAATGACCGCCATAAGGTTAATTTAGTGAAAACACTCTAATTTGCACCTATTATGAGCACTAGACATTTCTAATGGCAGGAAAAGCACATATTGGCTGCCAAGACATCGACCTTAACCTTGTTAAAATTCCTTGCTAGCTACGGTACTTAATGGAAATCCAATTTTTATAAGGGCCATTTTAAGATGAATTAATTCACTCTTCAGCTCTTTAGTCTGGGTGAAGGTAACTAAAATATCCTTTACCTTGCTTATATTCTTTTCTCCGAGGGGTTTGGATTTTGAAGGACTCTCGGGGAGAATGTTCTTTCTTTTTTCGCCGTGAAAGTCCATTCTCTGGGACTGTTTCTACCTGGCCTTGCTTTGTGTTTGGTCTTTTATGAGCTAATTGGAAAAGTCTGCAGCATTATGCTGGCCATTCATTTGGCACTCTCTGTTAATGGCATTCCCAGGTCTCAGCAGGCACTTTAGTCTTTAATCATCACAGCCCATATACCCTCATCTGAGCAAGAGGAACGCAGAATGTGGCTGTTGTTTCCCTTACTGCAGCATCTTCCACTAATGGATTTTCTGTTGTGGATTCATACTGTTGACTTTCAGAGTGATTTGCCACAGATTTCTGATATCGATTTAATAGAGAGTAAAGAAAGTGTCTTTTTTAAGACACATGTGCAGATGATTAAAAGGGCACCAATTGAGCAATGTCCTGGGTTCAAAAGAAGTTACATTTGTAGCATAATATCATTTACCACAGAAAATGATTTCAACTCACCCCTCAGTTTTTTTAAATGTTTTAAAGTAAAAATTGTGATTACTGTAAAGCATTTACAGTGAAAGTAGACCAGGCCAGGCAATAAATATTAAAATACAGTTTCAAGAGTAGAGCCTCAAGACATGAATATATGAGCTTGAAAATTGGAATGACAGCTTTTCTGTGCAATGTTATGTCCAATCTTTCAACTTCAGTGTCATGAACGCATAACATAATGAATTATGTTATTTATATATATATGTATATATACAGCATATATACTGTACTTTATATGTACTGTATATATATTCAGCATGGATGCATTGATTTTGATTAAAAATGACAGTAAAGACATTTTTAACTGACATTTTTTTTTTAGAAAAGTTGTTATACTATTTTACAGTTACTGTTGTTACTGTATTTGATTTGAATAATTGCATTTGAATAATTAAAATATGAATGAATGTTATGACACATATGAACCCAAAGCATTCTTTTAACATGAAACATCCATTTCCTTCTAATTTCCTTCTGAGAAATATTTGATAGTTATTTGAGTAAACCCTCTGATGTCTCTCTTTGGTATGATGAAAAAAAGTTTTGGAAAGTGGTAACTTGAACCACATGTAGAGAATGCTGAAAGAGAGAAGTTCCTCTCAGTTGACTCTTGATTTTCCATTGCCCTTCTTTTAATGAGGTGCAAACGCTCACGCTCATGCACAGCACTGACTCAGAGGTTTTTGCTGACAGAAGTGCGTATATGCACACATGTCTGCACTGACAATAACAAACACTATTGTGTGCATGTGTCAGAACAGGAGACCTGCAGTCAGGGAAAAGGATCGGTGGTGTCATGGGGGTGTGGTAAACACGTTAGATCTCATCCTCCTGTCAGACGGAGTGGCTGCAAATTGGGTGACAGTATTTAGATGGGTGGGGGTTGGAGTGATGGTGGTGGAGTGGAGGGGGCTGTTCTCTATGCAGATGTCCACTGAATGCAACTCCAAGACCAAAGGAAATAGGAAATTCAAGGAATGATAGTGGGGGAAGGACGGGAGGGTGGAACGGTGCAGTGGCCTGTAGATGAACCCAACGGGGACTTCGCTCAGCAGGGTCATCTCAAGTTCAGGTCTTTCCCTGGCTGACGGGAAGAACGGCGCATGGCGGAAGAGGCTCCTTGTGGAGGCCATGAGACCTGGAAAGGGGAACCCCCAGGGCCCTGTAAACATCTTATCATATAACTTCTGGATGGAGAATGCTGGGGAAGCTACTTAAGAATTAATTCACAACCCTTTGGATGAAAGTTGTGCCATATTTGACCTTTTCAAGAGCTGTATTTTCCATAGCATGGAATTTGTAGTACAATATCCTGTCTTGTTTGGATAGCGGTGCACAATATGTATTGGTTTTAGGCTGATATTTATTTTTATTTTTTTTATTGCGCATGCTCATTTACCCTTTTTTATATTATTATAATATCCATCATAACATGCTCAAAAAAGTTTATCACAAAGAACCCCAAATGACTTAATAAAAATGCTAATGTAATCTTTAGCAAATCTCTATACTCTTTTTTTAATTCTGTATATTATGTTGTGATGCTTGAATTCACTAGTGGCATTTAAATTGATTTATTCACTTTTTGAACAAATGCATTTTGAAAATATTATTTAAAAAAATAGAAGCAAATAATAATATTCTATGATTATGAATGCACAAAACTTTATCTCATAAATATGCATTACATAAAGTTTAATTGTTTGTTAAAACTGTAATTTACAAAAATTGTAAATGGGCCTATATATTCCATTAAAAAAATTGAATTATGTCTAAATGTTTGTAAGTTATTTTTAATTTATTTAGATGACATGACATAATTATTTATTTATTAGTATTGTGAAATTAATTTTAATATTGGTGAATTCCTAGATACCCCAAATAATAAATGACCAACAGTATCGGCTCAAAAGAGAACAAATGAACCCTGAGCAGCTTCTTACGGCACATCATTAAAACACCATCTGTGACATGATATTAAAAGGTTGTCGATTCCAGGTGAGAGTCTGTTTGACCATATGGTGATGGAGACAGATATTGCCTTGGGTTAAGACTGAGAGGAGACAGACAGACACTGGATGCTTCAGGAGTCAAGGGTGGCCTCACTTCTCTGGCACTTTGTACAGACACCGCCAACAGGAGTCTTGATTGAATAAGTAGACCGTGCCATTATGTCACGCCCGGGACAGTAATGGAGGGTGTTAGCTAGGAGATAATGAGATGAGGAGTTGGCTTACACAGAGAAGTGAGTTAATGTAGTGACACTGCGAATGAAACTTATGTTTCTTATGTGAGCGGGTGTTTGTTGACAAAGACTGAACCCTGGGGCTTAGGACTGGATGTCTACGATTTTGAAGAAAGTGAAAAAGACATTTTATGAGGTGTGGGGGACTTTGTGATGGAAATTTCATATAATTTTTACTAATTTAATTTTAGTATTTTTTATTTATTCATTCATTCTTTTGTGGTTTAAGTTAAGTGTTTGTAGAAGACCGATTGTACGGATGTTATAAAGTGTAAACTCACAAGACATCAATCAAGATGTGGGTGGTGAAGTTTAGCTGCCTTGCTGTTTTATTTGCCATTAGTGTTGTAGAACCCAGATGTGCAGTGACGTTGTAGTCGATTTATGTGTCGGCTGGTATTACAGGGATTCTATCTTCAAAGGTTGAGCTGAAAGTGGTGTCACTTCATCTCATGCATATAGGACAGTGAGTTTGGTCTTAATTTTGAAACTCAAACTTTCACTTTTCTATTGCCAGCGTTGTAATCCCATTTGGTACTTCAGCCTTTGCAGATTTAAAGCAAGATTTGACCTGAGTGACGTAATACGCACATCAAACTGAAAGCTCAAGCATAACTTTAAAAGACATGTTTAAAAAAAAGATTTAAACTGTGGTGCCTCTCGTAATTACAGATGCTGAAATGCCTCTCTTAAGTGTTGTACTAAAAGTTCAGCTTTGAGGCTTTCTGGTGACCCATATTCAAATTGCTAGTATC